ATATTGGCTGATCTGTTTTCAATACCCTTCCTAATAATCCCCAGCATAGCATTGGCCTTCTTTATTGCAGTCACACACTGTCTCGACATTTTCAGTGAGTTATCCACTACGACTCCAAGATCTCTCTCTTGATCAGTGTCTGCCAGTTCAGACCCCATCAACGTGTATTTATATTTAGGACCTATGGCTCCAATGTGCATCATAGAGTGGGCTCATATAGTTCCCTGAAAATCCTTATAATTTTAATCCATAAACCATAGATGCATAGTCCGTATGCATAGCCGCGTTTCGAATAATTCTTTTTGAACACCAATAGGCTACAGTGGGGACCCAATCTCAGTAGAAGCACATGCAGAAGCCAGTTTATTCCGTCATAGAGGGTCATGGGTCCCATCATAGGAACTATGTGAGTCCACTCTATGATGCATGTATGTCAAGTTGGACTATGGAATTACAACACAACAGGAGATGCAGTGAAATTTTGGGGACTTTACTTCTCTGTGTTACTGCTGTTTCTTGCAAGAACACCTTGGCTCTACATAGTTATATGACTGTATTATTGAACTCGGCATTAAAAATTTTTTTTATACATTTTTGTTTATCATTAGCCAGTGTTTTTTTGTGCTTTGTACCATTTCATGTACGCTGGTTCCCCTTCTTTTTTGGTTTTCTTCTAAAGGAAGGACAGGCAGATGCCCCATGTTGAGAGGACTGGTCCACAGCCAGAGGAGACCACGATCACCAACCCTGCAAAGGCGCCTGTAGCTGCAATGGCTCCTCTGACCGAACGACCCTCGAGATACACTGTCATGCAGGAACTGAGGATCTGGTCACAGATTCCTCATGGATACTTGGGGGGCGTGCAACAGCTAGAATTGGTTTAAGTTTGCAGTGCAAACTGGCTGGTCTTAAGAGCTGTCTTTGGGCCCAGTTCCAGTTGGTCAAGCACCTCCCGTACAAACTTCCCGCACGCCTGCACAATCAGCAAGTGCCATTCACATTCTCCATTAAGTTCCCTACCCTCTCCAATTTAACAAGCTGCAATCACCCTCTCGGAATATATGGAGTGAAAAGGAGGGCACTTTTGAAAATTAACTTTGTGGACGTCTGTCAAGGGTTGTTTAGATTCAACATAGTGGCAGAGAATCAGCTCCTCAAACTCTGTTCCTGGGCTATTTTCTCATACCTCTCGTAGAGTTTCTCGAACTCCTCTCCCCAGACTTCATCTAGGCCCGGGCATTCGTTGGGACACATCAGAGACCAGTCCTAGAAGAGAAGGATGGAAGCTGAGCAAGGGCAGCCCCTCAGGACTCCGTCCGTCCGTGGCACAGGTCACACCCACATGATGCCACTTCCCAAGGACTAACTGCTCTCCTGTTCGCATCAGGGAGCAGAACCAGTGAAGGATGCAATTCCCCCACAGGGTGTCTTTGCACTCAACCGTATCTTCCATATCATGAAATACCAAGTCACAGAACACAGAGAGCAATTCTATCCCTGTGTTGTCACCTTACTGTTACCCTGGCTAATATTATTCTTAATATTACTCTGGGGAATCTGCCTGGATTCCCAGTGAGAGAGGCGCAGACTATAAATAAATCAATAACTATTACATGCTGGAGAATGCTTTGACTAGAATTTCACTTGGACCCAAGAGACGGCTCACCTCCAAAGACGGACCATGCTTTAACAACTAAACAGACCACGCTTTAACCACTACACCCCCTATGAAGAAGAGAGAAGAAGAGATTGGA